TAAAGTTACCGGATAACCCCAACTAGGACCCTAAGCAATAGTGGAGAGGCTACCTTAAAAGCCTGTCCCCTATAACGAGAATGATGACTAACTTAAATGTCATCCTAGAGCCTTCATCCTAGAGCAGAGGCAGAGATCTAATCAATTCTCCAGTGTCCTGTAGCCTGTCCATAGTCTGAGCCTGCTCCTGCCTGGCAGTAGTAGGTGTAGCATCTAAGCATCATGCTCACTGGTCAGCGTTGTCACAATCCATGGAGTCCCATAATCTTCTTTAGAGACCTTAGGTCACTGTTAGGATCTGGAACTTATTGTCTGATATTATAAACTTTTTAATTAACATTTTCAATGCCATATTCTGTAGATCTCTGTAGTATTTGAAGTCTGCCTAGATAAATCTTGCAACTTGTTAATTTATAAGAATGGCTAGTAACTTGTATTTTTTAACAACTTAGAAACTTTTTTAAAATTAAGACTTTATGCTGTCAATTTTACCTTTATTAATGTAAACATCTGACATGCAGGTGGTCCTAGGTTACCCTTATAAAAGAGTTTTGTTTTTAAAACTCCAAAAAAACAAAAAAGTTATTTTAAGGCCTTTGGATATGTAAAATAAGATTGTTTCTAATTTAAATAAAATTTATATATAAAAAGAGGCTCTGATTCCAAACAATTAAGAAGTTCTGCTTATGAGCAGCTGGCAGCATGCTTCTTCGTGGTAGAACGAACCTAGGAACTCCACAGAGTTGTGGCATTAAGTATGAAGCTAGAAATGAACCTAGACTCTCAGAAAGCCAAGGAATAGAATGGGGATAGCTGCTGTTTAATTTTGGCAATGTTGTTTAGCAGATAAAAGACTCGTGGTCAGAAAAAGATAGAGCTATACAGTAAACACAGAGTCAGATGAAGAAAAATCTCTAATGGGTTTACAAGTGTTTAAAAATAAACATAGGCTTGGGAGAGTAAAGAAAAGGGGTAAAGTGGTTAAAAAAGAGAGTAGCTGGGTATGGTGGCACATGCCTTTAATCTCAGCACTAGGGAGGCAGAGGCAAGCAGATCTCTGTGATTTCAAAGTCACCCTGGTCTACAGAGTGAGTTCAAGGTTACACAGAAAAACCCTGTCTCAAAAAAAGAAAACAGAAAAGAAAATGAAATACAGTAATAAAAAAGCCACATAAAGATGGAAAGTACCCAGAGAGTCTGCATACTGTATGTTATCACGTTCTCTTTGCTTTTTTTGTTTGGACAGGGTTTCTCTGTGTAGCTTTGGAGCCTATCCTGGCTCTCGCTCTGGAGACCAGGCTGGCCTTGAACTCCCAGAGATCTGCCTGCCTCTGCCTCCCAAGTGCTGGGATTAAAGGCGTGCACCACCAACACCCAGCTATCATGTTCTCTTTGAATTGTTTGATTGATGAGGAAAGAACAACAGCTGCTAAAAGACATTTGCTTATAATGTTGCTGGATTAATCCAACCTATATATTTTAAAAATGCTTTGACTCCAAAATTTAAGTCTAAGGACATGTTGCATTGGAAAAGAAGTTCCGTTTTTCTTTCCAAAGAAAATGAAGAGCTGTTATGAACATGGTTGAACAGATGTCCTTGTTGTATGAATGTGCTTCTTTTGGGTTTATGCCTAAGAGTAGAATTGTTGGATCTTGTGGTAGACTCACTCCCATTTTCCTGAGAAACCACCATACTAATTTCCAACGTGGTTGTATAAGTTTGCACTCCCACCAGCAAGAGGAGAGTTCCTCTTTTCCTCTCCGGCATAAACTGTCATTGGTGTTTTTGATCTTAGCCATTCTGACAGGAGTAAGATGGTATGTCAGAGTTGTTTTGATTTGCATTTCCCAGAGGGCTAAGCATGTTGAAATCTTTCATACGTGTCTTTCAGCCATTTTAGATTCCTCTGTTGAGAATTGTCTATTTATTTCTGTACCCCAGTTTTAAATGGGTTATTTGGTGTTTTGGAGTCTAGCTTCTTGAGTTCTTTGTATATTTTGGAAATCAGCCCTCTGTCAGATGTGGGGTTGGTGAATATCTTGTCTCAGTCTGTGGGCTGAGGTTTTGTCTTGATGACTGTGTCCTTTGCCATAACAAAGCTTCTCAGTTTCAGGAGGTCCCATTTATCAATTGTCGATCTCAATGTCTGTGCTACGGTGTAATGTTCAAGAAGAGGTCTCCTGTACCAATTCGTTCAACGGTATTTCCCACTTTATCTTCTAATAGGTTCAGTGTGGCTGGATTTATGTTGAGGTTTTTGATCCATTTTG